GGTAGATAGCTAGAAAAAAAAAACGATTCGTGTATTTGTCTATACCAATCTTTGCATAGATTTCGGAAGGAATGTAATTCAAATTTCTGCGTGCATATGCCAGGAAAGTAGTTGTTTTTCTCTCGTTATCTACCAGTTTCGTCCATTTTTTGAACATATTGTGAAAATGGCTGAGTTTATCTCTATTTGTTACCAATTCCTAGTAGACAAATATGTGAGTAAATACATTTTTTGCAATTTTATATGTCCACACAGATTTGGTTCGGAGACAACTTGGACCCCAGGGTAGGTATATTCTTTAACACCTGTCGGTTTCAACGATATACGAGCCAGCAAAGATCCATTTCATTTTCGATGGCATGGTACGAGTAGAAACAACCTTCTCTCGATAAGTCGTTTACATACCCGTCCAGCCATAGCCAGGATTGGCGCAGTGGAAGAGCGTCCACGACCGCAAGGTCGTGGGTTCGATTCCCAGCGCGGGCAAGACACTTTTTTCAATATTTTATTTACGAATTAAATATTGTAAAGTTTCGGAGCATCGGCTGGGGATATTCCTGTACGATTCGCTGTTGCGTTCCAATTAACAGTGCTGCTCCTAAAGTGGCGCATGGAGTTAGTAACAAAGCCTACACAGAACACGCAGAAAGAGATGATGATGTGGTTGTGAGCATTAGAGAAGAAGTAGGACGGTGTATGTAGGTGGGTGTGGAAAAACTACCAACTGAGCGCGAGAGCGGGCCAGCTGCTTAGTGTACCTCGGTGTCTAACGGGGGTTAACGAGGATAGCTAGCAGGCCTGCCACTGCAGCATATGGTAGTGAGTACATTACTAGCCTACAAACGAACACCTCACGTATCCTCTCATATTCCTTGGCTAACACCAGCCACCTCTGCGTTAGTGGCGGGAAGTTCAGGCATACTTTCAACTATGCCAAATCTGAAATTGCAAATATGATTATGATATATTTTGTATTGTGAAACTCAGACGATAAATAAATGAATTTAATGCATCAGTCATTGACAACACCTTGGGGCTTGCAAAAAGGTCCCATTAGGGACTAGTTGCTGACGTGCAAACGTCCCCCCATCAGTACCAGTACCAGTACCCTTCCAGCCAGCAGAACGTGCGCTTCAGTGTAACAGAGTTCCTCTTCTTATCCCTATCAGGTACCGTTTCGTGGAGCTGAATTACCGGCGCGGCGAGACCACCCACAAGGGCAAACCAGTGCCTGCGCGCGTCGAGACAGTGGTCGTCTTCCTGCCCGACGTGTGGAGCTGTCTGCCCACCAGACTGGAGTGGGACGGCGCGCATGCGGCCTACCGTCGCAAGCTCGAGGACGTCCTCAAGGTCATGGGGCAGCCGTTGCAGCCGCAGCCTAAGCAGCAGGACGAAGCGGACGTCTCGATGACAGACGAAAAGGCAGTTCAATTAATTTTAATTTTAAGTTAAATGAGTTGTTGTGGTGTGTGGTAGGCGCTGCGAGAAGGACGCCGTGTTATGATTGGGGTGTTTGAGTGGGGCGTATGAACGTTTCTCAGCCATCTTCTCTCTTGCGCGCCTGGAAAGGCTTTTTAGTGAGCGACGAGTGAGGCAAATGGACTGTAGAGGCAACTTGCAGTGGTTACGGATATCTGTCTCTTTCTGACTCGTGTTGGTTAATGGAAGATTTGCGCGTTTCTGAAGTAATTTCTTGATTTTTATCTCAATTCAGGGGAAAGGTTGATGATCCTAACATTGTGAGACTCTGAATTTATCAATTTAGGTACTACCGCCTACCTACAAATTCTTGAGTTACAAGCTTGTCTCTGATGGGGTACAGGTCTACATATATTTGCAGCAAAAAACTTATTAACTGTAAAGTTGTACCGGAAAACAACCTAAATTCCAATTCAGGTCATTTGGAGGACATCCTAACTGATTATTTATTCAAAATATATACATATACAGGGCGATCCACAGTGGATGGCCTATTAGAAGAATCTGGAGAATGAAAAGACAGAACATTCTGAAAATTGGGATACTTTGATAATTGAACATTCTCTATCCGTCTAAAATATTTCCATCGATACAGTGTTGCCAGTTCTATCAGAAACAACTAGCAATTTTGTTATTTCAAATGGAACACCCTGTATATTATTGCATATTTAGATTCTTCCTCAAGAGCTGATTTCTTCAATGCATCACACTTGGGGTCTAGCAGGATTGATTACAGAGATATAGGGTGTTCAAAATCGAGATTTTTCAATTTTAGGATTTTCTTTGTGTCGAAACTATTCATTATCGATCAAAACGGCTTACATGTCTTGACTTCTTTTTCACTATCTACTGGAATTTAATTGGAAAAAATACAGGGTGCTTCAAGATTCAGAATTCTGATCACCCTGTATCTGTTCCAATTAAAGTCCAGTAGTGAGTGAATCAAAAGTTAAGATAGGGACATGTAAGCCGTTTTGATCGATAATGAATAGTTTCGACACAAAAAAAATCCTAAAATTGAAAAATCTCGATTTTGAACACCCTATATCTCTGTAATCAATCCTGCTAGACCCCAAGTGTGATGCATTGAAGAAATCAGCTCTTCAGGAAGAATCTAAAAATACAATAAAATACAGGGTGCTCCATTTAAAATATTGAAGTTGCTAGTTGTTTCTGATAGAAGTGGCAACACTGTATCGATGAAAATATTTTAGACGGATAGAGAATATTCAATCATCAAAGTATCCCAATTTTCAGAATGTTCTGTTTCTTTGTTCTCCAGATACTTCTAATAGGCCATCTACCGTGGATCACCCTGTATATATAAATATAATACACCGGTAAACAAAGAATTAGCGTAATTGATCGCCTTGTAACTGTTTTTACTTTATATATCCGTAAATACTTGATTTATGTTTGAGAGTGTTAGACTGGATTTTTGTTTTCATGAAAAACTCATGGCTTGGTCATTATACAGGGAAAAACAAAAATTCTCTCGATTTCTTCTCGTCCTAAGGCAAAAGTGAGCGATTGAACTTAGTTTGATTTTGTTTTGGATCAAAGCGTGATCCTTTCTCAACATAATGGTTTCTGATTCACGTCAATATCTTCTATTTAGGAGAAGATACTAGTGTTTCGAGGAAGTATGGGATTTTTTAAATATTCAATAATCCAGGACCTATAGAGCTACAATTCGCTCTTCAAGAAGAAATTGAGGCAATTCTACAAGCAGCCTTGAGAAATTTGGTCAACTCGATGCCACAATGTTTGAAGCTCGTAATTCAAGTAGAGGAAGATATAGTCTGCTGCTTCTCCTTTGTTTTTTGTAACTAAGGTTTTTCTTTGCCGGTGACTGCTAAGTCAGAGGAAATGAGTGATATTAATTTCAAAGTGTTTTTTTTTTTAGTTGTTGGTCGATGAGTTTATGTAGGTTCTGCATTATGTTCATACAAATTTTGAAAAATCCATATTCTCTCATAAAGAAGACATTGACCACAGGGCATTAAGTAGTTGAGGGCGAAAGAGTAACTTTTGTTTAGTCCTGTATAATGATCAAGCCATCAGCTTTTCTTGAGAACTAACATTCAGGCTAATATTTGGTAACATAAATCTACGATTTGGTCGAAATTTTAATAAAATCGGACAAGAATCAAATGCGTTATTCAAAAGTTACACAATAAATTATCATTGTTATAATTCAAAATCACCCAACAACAATTACAAATCGCATGATAGAATATTTTAGAAACAACACTACAAATAAGCGCCGTTAAAACACTGATTTTTCCCCAAAATGCCAAAGACACCTTCCAGTTAACAAATTGATTCCCTATGATATTGTTAACATGCAGCCCACACCCTTCTTATCGGCGACACATATACGGTATCCTGAAATGCATTTCTCCTTGCAATAATTCAATTTATTTATGAAAATTGGCAGCAAGAAGCGATATCGAACCTTGAAGGGAAGGTAAGCTGCACACGGGCCATCGACTGTGTTTCCGTCAATAAAGAGTTATAGAGGAGTGGTAATCATTATGTCCGTCTGCCTTTTGGAGGTTATATACCTCGAGGAACACCTTCCTTGGCAATGTATTCCAGAGCCTCGCTGTTCGTTGGATGAACGAGTCTTCGAAAAGAGATGTTCTGCAGGTCTAAGTGACCATGAAGGAGTGCGAAGCCTCAACTCGACGGGTTAATCTCACAGGGACTGCCAAGGGAGGAACAATTGTTGATATTTCAGAAGACCATCGTCCATGAAAATATCTATAAAATAGAGCCAGATCGCCAACTTTTCTACGGTGTTCCAGAGAAGTGAGGCATCACCCACAAGACGAATTGCTCTTTTTTGGACAGAATCAACAGTCATTTTGGAACACAGGCAGCTTGAGTGAAATCTTATAAAAACGCTTAAGTTGCGAACATATAATGTTGATTAACTTCAATACATGAAGAACCCGGAACGATTCTTTCATGTATCATTTTTTAACATCAAAATGTATATATTATGATACCCTTCAAGACTACTGGGTGAAATCACGTCCCAAAATCTGTCACTACTAGCCGGTCTATAAGGGAATCCCTATAATGTTCGAAGAACATCATCCGTACCTAGGGAGGATAGGAAGAGGAAGTAGGTACTGGATTTTATCCTTACTTTTGGAGGTTATAAGTCTTTGGGAATACTTCTTTTGGCAAAGAATTATAAAGCTTTGCCGTTCAATAGATACACGAGTTTTGGTAAAGAAGTGCTGACTGGGCTTGTCGAGTACGTCTGACTGGTATTGCTAGAAGGTTAGCAGAGATTTCTGAAGAAAATTTCCCGTGAAATTATCTGTAGAAAACTGAGAGGTCGTCGACTTTTTTACGGTGTTCTAATTATGTCAAAGAATTACTGAGTGTCGCATCTCCAACCAGGCGAATGACTCTTTGTATGGAATCTATACGAGCATCAGCGTATATTTGGGTGCTGAACCCCATTATTTGAGAACAGTATTCTAAAACATGCCTTTTCTGTGCTTTGAAGATCATGAGAAGCTGATGAGGTGTCAAGTAGATTTTTGCACGAAATAAAAGTCTTAGTTTTTCTGAAGCAGCTTTTGCGATGGATCGGACATGATACCAGACATTGTTATATCAGACCTACCGAGTTCTGCTTTCATAGAGAAAATACAAGCTTGAGTTTTGGTGGCGTTGAATTCAACTAGGTTGTTGGTTCCCCAGGCTGTGATTTCAGCAAGGTCTTCATTGACAGCATTGACCTGCCTGCGCCGTGAGTTCTTAGTTTCCTGGGAAGAAATGGGAATTCTGGATAAGAACGCAGTATGGAGGGTACTATCATCTGCAAAGCCATGGGTAGGGCAAGTTCTTACTCCCAATAGATCATCGATATGAAGTAGAACCAATGTTGGTGCCATTAACTAGTCCACCGTCCATCACCACGTGGAGCGATGTGCCTGAAAAAAAACCTCGATGAAAGATGGCATTGCTGGGGTGGTAAGCCGTATAATGGTGTTTTGTGGAGGGATCCTTGCTGCCAAACACGGTCGAATGCTTTCAAAATATCCAATGCTACAGCTAGAGATTCCCCATGTCTTTTTAACGAAGCTTGCCATACATGGGTGACGTACGCAAGTAGATCTCCAGTCGATCTTCGGTGGAGAAAGTCATTATTGTCTATCATCAATGATTCCTTAGCTTTCCAGATATTTGATAAATTCAATGTTGATGGTTTCCTTCATCACTTTGAGATAACTGATAACAGGGCAATAGGCCTGTAGTTGTTAGGCTGGTTTTTGGTTTCCTTTTTTTTTTGGAGTTGGAGATTGGTTGGACTCTGGCTATCTTCCTGCGCGATGGAAAAATACCCGACTTGTACGAGATGGTGCCAACTCTTCTTGTGGATAACGGGTGAAATTCGATTAGGACCGTTAGCCCCATTCGTTTTGAGACCAAGCAAAATACGTCTGATAGTGCATTGATGGAAGACGATTTCGGGCATTCGACTTTCTACGGGTGGAATATCTGGCGGCACTCTTCCCTGGAAATCTGAGGTACAGTTTGCAGCGAACATCTCTGCAACATTATTTGCTTCTTTCTGCGATGATGTTGCTAATTTGCAGTCGGCTTTGGAGAGTAGTAGAAATGGACTATTAGTGAAATTCCCGACTGCTTTCACGAGAGACCAAATCAAACGGATGTCATTGGGAGTTTCCATCTTATTTTGGCATTGTAAGTTTCTTTTTATGCACCTATTATTTGGCTGCAGTTATTCCTGGCTTTCAACGTATCCTTCTCTAGTCGCGAGGATAAAGTTTTTGCGCCATCGATGGTAGGCTGTTTTGTTGAGATAGTCTTTGAGTAGGTAGACCATTTAGCTGCTAACTGTACAGATTCTCATTTAGGATTTGCATAGTCCCGTCTCCTGTGAGATAATTCAAGCGCCAAAATGTCGTTAAGCATCACGAGTACGAAAGAGACAAGCCACCTTTGTGGATGACCCACTCCGTGATACCAGAGAAAAAAATAACGGTCTCCTGTCCAGTCCGTACGGCATTCAACGCTTGCGCGACTTAACCTCTTTCTTCTTCTCGTCCTTAGGAGGAAGATTCTTCTTCGTTGAGCAAACTGGAACCGACCCCTCATGGCCAGCTGGACGTGAAGACGATGCCGGTGGCGGAGCTGAGGAACGAGCTCAGGGCTCGCGGGATGAGCTACAAGGGGCTGAAGAGCCAGCTGGCGGCCAGGCTGGGGAAGGCGCTGAAAGCGGAGGAGGAGGCTGAGGAGAAGGGGGAGGAAGAGGAAGAAGAAGAGGAGGTTGGGGAGGGGGATGAGGAGGAAGAGAAGGGGAAAAACGAAGAGGAGGCTGAGGTGGAGAAGCAGGAGGATAAGAAGTCAGAGGTAGGGGTGTTTGGATTGTCATTTCTGTAGGTTTTGTTGTGTTTGGGTTCGTGTAAAGGGTGTCCCACTTGAATGTGTCACCCCCCCCCCTATTATCCTCGTCATTCAAAAACTTTTCAGTAATGATTTTTTAAGAATGTTTTGAATCTGTACTTACTTTTTCTTCAAGTATATAATTTATTTTTGCATATGGAATGATCTATATTTTTTCCGTAATTCGATGAAGAACGTCAATCTGAATTCGAAAATATACAGGGTGTCTGTGAAAGGTTGGGATATGGCTCGGCTGTGGACTCCTGGGATAAAAACAAGTTGATTTAGGCCAACTTACCTATATCCAAAATCGTCTCGTTGCGTTGGTACAAGGCGTTGAAGTTTTTTTTGGAAAAAAATAATTTTGCTCATAAAAAGAGTTGGCTGAGATCGATTTTTCATAATTTTTGGCATGGCATGTTCTGTGACTGTAAGTCAAACATGTTGCCGTACAAATTGGGTGATAACTTCAACTTATATTTTTTCAATACGGGCCTGGATTTTTCATTTCATTTTGTGTTACCTTTGGATAGCCCAAAAACTATGAGCTATAACAAATTTCGATTTTCAAATGTTTCGATGACAAAAAAATAATAATTTGAACTATGTTCAACTTGCCCCCTAGAGAGTCATGTAGGCCCTATTTTGTTCATTACGAAATCCTAACGTTCTCCTGTATACATACATATACATTTTCAAATGCCCGCAATACTTCAGGGAAAATATAGGTAAGTTCAAAACTAATTCCCAGTACCATTCATACTCGACCAGAAAGAGGAATTTCTTGTGTATTTCTCCACATAAGACAGCTAAATTTGAAACAAGTCCTAGTTATTGTGGAATTATGTTCTACAACCATCTCGGGGAGAGCATCCAATGCCTGGATCGACACTCATTCAAAAAATACATTAAATCGCTATTAGTATACAAATGCTACTACAGCATAGATGAGTTTATGTCTGATAGAGATTTCAGAATCTAATCGGTTTTGTTTTTATATACAGGGTGATCCACGGTGGATGGCCTATTAGAAGTATTTGAAGAACGAAAAGACAGAACATTCTGAAAGATGGGATGCTTCGATAATTGAACATTCTCTATCCGTCTAAAATATTTTCATTGATACAGTGTTGCCACTCCTATCAAAAACAACTAGCAACTTCGTTATTCTAAATGGAGCACCCTGTATTTTTTTGCATTTTTAGATTTTTCCTGAAGAGCTGATTTCATCAATGTATCACACTTGGGGTCTAGCAGGAATGATTACAGATTATAGGGTGTTCAAAATCGAGATTTTTCAATTTCAGGAGTTTTTTGTGTCTAAACTATTCATTATCGATCAAAACGGCTTACATGACCCTATATTAACTTTCGATTCACTATCTACTGACATTTAATTGGAACAGAATTCTGAATCTTGAAGCACCCTGTATTTTTTTCCAATAAATTTCCAGTAGATAGTGAATCAAAAGTTAAGATAGGAACATGTAAGCCGTTTTGACCAATAATGCATAGTTTCGACACAAAAAAATCCTAAAGTTGATCTCGATTTTGAACACCCTATATCTCTGTAATCATTCCTGCTAGACCCTAAGTGTGATACATTGATGAAATCAGCTCTTCAGAAAGAATCTAAAAATGCAATAAAATACAGGGTGTTCCATTTGAAATAACAAAGTTGCTAGTTGTTTCTGATATAAGTGGCAACACTGTATCGATGAAAATATTTTAGACGGATAGAGAATGTTCAATTATCGGAGCATACAAATTTTCAGAATGTTCTGTTTTTGCGTTCTCCAGATACATACTTCTAATAGGCCATCCACCGTGGATCAGCTTGTGTATGTTTGTAACCTGTGTGATCACCGTTTTCATACACTCAATTTTTTCATACATATACTTATTAGTACCACCCTGACCTGTGCTATACATATAAATGTCTGAAAGGACCAATAAATTATTTATTTATTTATCCATTTATTTATTTATTATAATTCGCCTGTAGTAAACCGGAAATGAAAAAACAATTGTTACGGCAATTCCAGGTAGGAGAGAAGGACAAGGAAAAGGACAAGGAAAAAGAGAAGGAAAGGGTGAAGAAGCTGGACGAGAGAGAGCGAGCCCTGATAGAGAAGCGCCACACGTTGCCCGAGCAGCCGCACATTCTCGTCCATCCCTCCAAAACGGCCAAATCGGGCAAATTCGATTGCACCGTCATGTCGCTCTCGCTCCTTCTCGACTACCGGCCTGAAGATACGAAAGAGCACTCGTTCGAGGTGTCGCTCTTCGCCGAGCTGTTCAACGAGATGCTCATTCGCGATTTCGGCTTCAACATTTACAAGGCTCTGCACGATTTGCCTGAGAAGAAGGATGAGAAAAAGGACGAGAAAAAAGACGAGAAGAAAGACGAGAAAAAAGTCGAGAAGAAGAAGGAGGCTAAGAGGGATGCTAAGAAGGATGATAAGAAAGATGATAAGGAGGATAAGAAGGAGGAGGAGGAGGATAACTCTGATGGCGAGGAAGCAATGGAAGACGATAAGGATGAGGTGAGTTGTTGTTCTTTGATTGTTTCAATAGTTCATCCTTCGTTAGTCCACTTTTACATCAAATATTTCATTCTCTAGGATTGTGATTATATTCATGCTCCAAGTTTGCTTGGTATTCTCTCCACCTAGTTTGTCTTACACATGGGCACATTTTTTCATTATCTAATATCTGGCTTCGAACTTTATAACCTTGTTGATGATGATCAACAATCCAAGTTTGCATTTATTTGGGCCTTATAACCTAATCGATTGTTTTTTCAAAACATCTATCAATTGTACAAACCAGTGTGAGTTCAATGTGAATTTATTGTGATAATTGAATGGTGTGCGAAGAATCAAAGTCATCAAGTATTAAGGAAGACAAGGGTGTAGGTGTGTTCATGAAAGAACACAAAATAGATCTGTATTGTAGGTGTGCCTAAGTATTCATCTATTTATTGTAATTCTCTAGTTTTATGCAAAAAACACCAGTGTGTAGGTTTTTTATCTTCAATTCAAAACCCAAAAGGAATTGAAGACAAAAATTGTGTAGATATTCATGTAAGTTTCCCTAAATGCATGTGAATTGTCAAGCATTTTCACTACAACTCTTCCTTCAAAAGGTCTCATGTAATCACCAACTTAGTCCATCATATTCGAAAATCCTTTCCTTCTATGTTTATTTCCAGCAATGAAAATTTATTCATTTATTCACGGTATATCTCATCAAATTTGAATGCAACTTATTTCATAAATAATCTCTGTACTGACTCTAGACTCTGACTGGATGTTATATAGGGGATCACATAAGGAAACCATACTCTAACCGCAATCGCAAATATAAGTTGAAAATATTTATATACCTTTCTTGATTCTGGAAGTCTACGATTTCTGAATATCATGCCTAACATTATTTCAGCTGATGATATAATTTTAGTAATGTGTGGCAAGAACTGGAATTTGAGTCAAAATAGATACCAAGATATTTCGTTAGGTTGTGTTTTTCGAGATTGTTGCGATTTATGGTGTAGCTAACTTCAAGTATATTGACCTTCAGTAAATATGTTGCTTAGTGACATTTTTTTATGTTGAGTGATAATTCATTATTAATAATAATAATAATAATAATAATAATAACATACATTGATCCCAAGAAACATACAAGGTTTATAGAGGGATACAAAAAAAATAAATCAAATATGTCTTACAATGAAAGATAAGCAGTTAATAATCAGAATTAATTGACACAAGGAGAGAGTTAAATGAGTAAAACATATTTCTTCAGTTCACTCTTGGATTTTTACGAGCCTAGTAGATTTTTTTCTGTTGGGTAGATTATTATCAATATTCATTCAACAAAAATATGATGTTCCCTAATTTTTCAGTTTTTACATTGACAGTTTTCAAATGTTCACTTTGTCTGGTATTATGCTCATGGGTATTAGAATTGATATTGAAACTAAGATTCCAGTGCTTTTTTATTATTTTCAATGAAATGGATAAAAATACATACTTTCATTTTGAAGAGTCAATATATAGCAGATCCATTGGTTTGTATAGTCTAGATGTTGATTCCAGAAATGGTAGTTTATAAATTCATTTTTTTCCACCACCAGCTCTAGAACCTACCATTACTTCTTTTCAAGGTGTAAAGTGTGTTTTTACTTTTTCTACCAGAGTAGTTTTCGTCATTTTATGAATCACTAGTCAATAAAGACATAGCCACCTCTGATATAATTAACCCGCCTTCACTGTTCTAAGGCGAGATTCGCAGGAATGGCACTAGAATCTAGTAGGTATTTATCAATAACGCCTTGTCATGTGCTGTCATGGTCATGGTTACTAGATTTTGATTAGAATTGAAAAGAAGTGCTCCCATAGTGACAATAGGTTCATATTTCAGTTTCACAGAACTATAGTTATTGAAATATATTGCTAGTGGTGAAAAAAATGTGTATACATCTTGGTAGTAAAGAATAATATCATCACGGGACCTGGGTAATACCGATATTCTTTACTACCTTGGTTCATAAATAACTATTATGACTTTATTTTAAAGAGATATCAGAGGTTTCAAAACAGATTTTACTGCATGCGGCCACTTGATTGATGTATTTTTGAAGTATTTGACAATCAGTAATTGTGTTGATAGATCTGAACATTTTTACATCATCTGCGAAGAGAAGTATTTAACTAGATATATTGTATGTAATATCATTAATATACAGGGAGAATAGCAATGAAGCCAAGTTACTGCCCTAGGATGCTCCACTACTGGCAATAAAATAAGGTATTTTGTGTCACCTATATTCAACACATTGCGATTTGGTAAACAAGAGTGGAAAAAGTTCAACAAAGCATCATCAAAATCTGAAGTTTTCAGTTAAGACAAGAGTATTGTGTGATCCATCTTGTCAAATGCCTTTGAGAAGTCCGTGTATATTGTATAGACGTGGGAATGTGTGTCAATGGCAATGCAAGCTATTTACGTGAAACACATTAAATTTGTTATGGTTGATCTTCTTGTCATGAAACCATGTTGCTCTAGAGCTATTATATTTCTTAATTTGAGAAACAATCTATTGTATATACAGATTTCGAATGCCGTTGCAAAGTTTGACTATAGGGTGATTGGCCTATAGTTTGTAATTTCATTAATTGAACCAGTTTCGAAAACCGGACAAATTTTAGATGTTTTCCATTCATTTGGAAATGTAGATGACTCCAAAGCAATATTGAATATTATTTGTAGAGGTTTGGCTGAAACTATAGACATATAAGACGGGGGAGGCATAACATTTCATTCATAAAACACTATTTGTTTACAGTCATACATTTACGCAGATTGAATGACATTTGGAATTTTTTAGTGTGTCTTAGGGTTAGAAAATTGTATTATTTAGTGTAAGTTTATTTCTCTAGATTAGGGTTAGAAAATTGTATTATGTAGTGTTAGTTTATTGTTATGACATAGTGGTTTCAAGAGTTTTTGTGGGTTTTCCTCATGAATTATGTTTGGAATATTGAAGTGAGAACAACTTTTTTCCAATATAACTAGATGCACCACTATTTATTCTTCCACGAAATAGAATGAGTTGATTGAATTTCTATTTCATTTCACCAATTTATAGTGATTGAAAAATATCCAAAACGATCAGATATATCAACCAAAATTGAATTCGAAGTTTATATTATTTCCACTCAGTAAATGTGAATACTGATCAGTTTTATTGAGAAAAGATGAATTCAAGACATAATTGTGTATTGGTAGGAAAATACTGTAATGATATTTCCCTTAGAGGGACTCTAGAATCACCATCAGGAAGACAGGAGTACAATGATCATCCTGTAACACGCATCCCAGATTGTTCTCCAACCTCTCAATGATTCCCACATGCACCAGCATATTTCCGAACACTGGTCATTTAGTCATTCTTTTTCAACTAGCAACACTGCATGTGTTGAAATATTGACGTCACTATCAACTTAGCTTGGAAGTCCTTTATTATTTTCTCCCATAGGAAAAGACCGCTGAAGACGCGAAGACCGAAACGAAAAGCTCCAACTCCAAAGAGCACAAACCGTCCTCTAGCGACAAGAAGGACGGCAAAGAGAAAACGTCGAAGCAAGACGAGGATGCCGACGAAGAGCAGGAAGACGACAGCGGCGGAGACGACGACCAAGTCAAAAGGGACAGGAAGAACAGGCCGGCAGCGGGAGGTAAGAGAGAGAGAGATGTACAGTGTGTCGTCTTTCGTAGCAAAATTTTGATTTTAATTCAGGAATCGAATGTCATGAAAATATACAGGGGCTCCAATTTGATATAAGAAAAATATAGTGCTTTGAAATTTGAAAAGTTTGCCACTAAATTTTGCACATCCTGTGATGATTTGTGTCAATCAAACTCGTTTAGCGATCCTCTAAGGCCTTATTTGATATGTATCTCATGTTTCTATTGACCAGGCACTCTTTTTTTGTAATCAATGTTTTTGACCAGTGGTGTAAAATTGAATTTTTCTTGTTAAATTCTTTTTACGTGATTATTTCATTCACACCCGGTTGGACCTATGAAATGTCATGATTGAAGTCACATGATATGCGATATCAGCGGCTATTTAGGTAAACAAACAATATGAGCGGCTATTCTGTTCGCCAGCATAAGAGTGCTATGGTTGTCAAACTTTGACATACCTATCAGTCACACAAAAATTGAAATGTCTTGTTTTGGGTCAACTTCCACTACGGAAATTCGTAATTATGTAAGCGAATCGATATCAGAAAATAACAAGGAGAGTAAATAGTCTGTCTGGAACAATCCATGTTTTTTTGCCAGCAGAAAAACTATGAATTTTGTGCGACTACTCCATCTCTCGTGATTGCCCAAATCCTAAAAGATTGGGTGAGGAGAATTGTGAGGAATATTAGGAATACACAGTTGAAATTGATATGGAAAATTATATACAAGAAGGTGACTTCAATGAACATAAACTTTTGACAAATCCATTTGAATATATCGAATTCAAAGGTGCCAGGGTTGCGCATAATGCAAAAAGGCGAAGCCTACAATATTTTCCTCAAACTAGAAAGGAAAGTACAGAAGCTCTAATCAAAGAATGTTAACGCTATCAATAGCGTTCATATTTTTTATTTGCTCCAACTTTAGATGAATTGATTAAAAATTGTACGTAGATATGATGAGAATACCCCAGACGGCCATCAAAAGAATTTTTATTCAAATAGTATCTGCAGAATTGTAACTTATATAAAATGTTGAAACTCGTATAAATCAGTATTTTTGCATTGTTCATGAAATAATCTTCCTGAATATCACTCGACAAATAGAGACTATTATTTTCGTTAATTCATCTCGAGTAACTTGTATTTTGGGACAATTCAATTCGACCATATGAACATAAATAATCATAGAATATCAGATTATTAATGTTCATATGGTCTCATCAAATTGTCAAAATACAAGGTACTCTCGATAGAATTATGAAGAAAATAATAGTCGGCTATTTGTCATGGTATCACGATTACCTGCGAATATCATTGAACCGATTTCAATTAAATTCCATGAGTATGTGGGTAACCACTGGAAGCACACAAATGTGCAACAAAATATATTACATGCCATTCAAAAAAATCATTATGATGTCACACTTTCTTGAGACACCCTGTATAATCGAAATTATTTTCCTGGTATGCGCTCTATCAGACAATTGAGGTCTGCAAAATATCAACATCCTGACTCAACTGATAACTGAGCTATAGAGGACGGGAGGTGAGATGCTGGACCCTGTATATTTCGTGTAAGTACTAGGGTTCAGTATTGAAAATAAATATTCTCAGATAATTTATGAACAAGAAATATTTCAAACACTGAGAAAGCTCGACTTCTACTATCGAATGGCACTAATAAAAAAAATATAGGGATCAAAATAAAATTTGAGGGTAGACCCATTTTTCCACCCTAGAACTTTACTGTAGCAAATCTGACGTCACCTCTGTTGAAATTTTCATGCGGTAGGCACAATCACGCGGAGTTCAGTTTGTCATACATCCAAAAACTAGGTTTTAGATTTGCGTTTTTGTAGTTGTGCTTACGGCGTTATAAGGTATGCCATTTTTGTCATACTGGGTGTTCTTGGAGTGAATAAATCCGTTTGAATCAACTCCGGGCTTATTTCGAGGCCAGTAAACGCGACCACAGGAAGAGTTTTATTGCACCCTTGAAGGTCTTTACAAAAATGAGGAAGTCAAGGTGAGTTGATATACAGGGTGTTTCACAGGTAAAGGGAAATATTTCAATGGTAGATAGGGGTCACCAAGGTGGTTCTGAAAATACCATATTTGATAGGTCTTAGAGTTTTCATGACGGAGATACAGGGCGATTTATCGATTTCGAATAATTATTCATTCGTCTATAAGTATTGAACTACCCAGTATATTTTTCTAAAATTTGGTATGGAGCTTAAACTTGGGACGTTGAATGCATTCACCTATCGAGCGAAGTGAAAATCCAGGTTCGGCTTCAGGGAAAATTTACATTTATTCGAAATATTAAAATAACACACTGTATGTAATAATTGACAAAGTTCATCAAAGGAATCGTGAAGAGGAGAAAAAACTGAACTGGATTTGATGCTTTTTGTTATCCCGCCACCAATTCTCATCGTAACAATCATAAACAGGAAGCTAAAAGTATGTCAATTTCAAGAGTATTAAAATTATGAAACCACTTTCAATTATGATTATTTGATATATTCTCTCACAGTCTTTATAACAGAAATACAGGGTGAATTATCACTCGTCCATAAGTATTAAACTACCCATCGCAGTAATATTTTCTCAAATTTGGTATTGAGCTTACTTCGGACGATGGATTCATTGACCTATCAGGTAGAATGGAAATACAGGTTCAGCTTCAGGAAAAGTCTTATAGTCTTTATAACAGAGATACAGGGTGAATTATCGAATTATAATTCCGCCTGATAGGTTAATGAATCCATCGTCCCAAGTAAGCTACATACCATATTTGAGAAAATGTTACTGGGTATAGTTTTATACTTATGGACGAGTGAATAATTATTCAAAACCGATAATTCACCCTGTATCTCCGTTATAAAAACTGTGAGACTTAGTAAGTTCTTTCGAGCGATTTTTTGACTAAAATATATCGAATAATCATAATTGACACTGGTTTCATAATTTCGATACTCTTCAAATTGACATACTTTCAGCTTTCTGTTTATGATTGTTACGATGAGAATTGGTGGCGGGGAGAACAAAAAGCATCAAATCCAGTTCAGTTTCTCCTCCTATTTACGATTCTCTTGATGAACTCTGCCAATTATTACATACAGTGTGTTATTTCAATATTTCGAATAAATGTGAATTTTTTCTGAAGCCGAACCTGGATTTTCTCTTCGCCCGATAAGTGAATGAATTCAACGTCCCAAGTTTGAGCTCCATACCAAATTTTAGAAAAATATACTGGGTAGTTCAATACTTATAGACCAATGAATAATTATTCGAAATCGATAAATCGCCCTGTATCTCCATTATGAAAACTCTAAGACCTATTAAATATGGTATTTTCAGAACCACCTTGGTGACCCCTATCTACCATTGAAATATTTCCCTTTACCTGTGAAACACCCTGTATATATGAAACAAAATATTTTTTCTACAAACGTCAAAAAAATGCCAAGGCTCGCGCATTTATAACAATTTGCGAACTGACACTTCTTTCAGTTCCCTACGTTACCACGACACCGTGTGCGAATCAGTGCGCAAAGTGCATACTTCGTATGTATGTAAACTATTTTCTATCGAGAGAGTTGTATCTAGATTATACTATACTGTTATACTAAACCATGCCCTGTATTTTCCTTATTCTAATAATATTTTGTGAAACTATAACAATAATTACCTTGGTACCTAGATATTTTCGTTGTTTTAATTAGCTGTGTTTATGTTCTACTTTTTCTATCCACTACAGTATGCAAACTGCACTTCTCCAAGACTTTAACGCACCACCAAAAAGTATCCAAAAGTTTAGGAAACTTTTTCGTCTAAAGTAATTGTCCGATTTGGAATTTTTTTTCAAGAAATTTGTAATACCCTGTAGAGTGGAATGGTTACACTCTTGAGTTAGTATTGGAATCACACTTCAGCCTCATCTTTTTTCAACATTTCTTTTTTGGATTCACTCCATTATCTTTCATACTACACGAGAAACGCCATTTTATAGCGCGTAACTTGATTTTATTGAAGATTAATATCCAAATTATATAACGAAAAAAACGAAACATAAAGCGAAGTCACAAGTTGAACGAAAGGTCAGTAGCGAGTATTTCTGCCGCGGACACGAAAAACTTCCTGGTAAAGACGCCCTATATCCAAAATAAGAGACCTAATGTCATGTTGGTCCGGGTCTTTCCAAATTTGAATCATCAGTCTCTGCCGTGCGTTTTCCAAAGTATTCAAGTTATGATTCTCAATGGGATTTAAATCCGGGCTCCGAGCTGGCCATGCCATGCCAGACTTCCTCTAGATAACTTCTTACAACTCGGGCGACGTGAGGCCTGGCATTATCTTGCATCGACAAAAATCCTTACACTATATTAATGGTTCTGAGATCACCAGTATGTACATTTCAGCTGTAAAGCTTTCATATATGAAAAAAAATTACATGCGATCAGTCCTAGAAATCAATTCCCAGACCATAGCCTGCAGCCTGCTACTTTTCTGCTTATAACGGCAATTGAATTGAATTAAATCATGTTATGCTATAAAATTGTGTTTCTGGAGAAATAGGAAAGATAATGGAGTGAATCCTAAAAAGGAATTTCGAAAAAAGGTAAGGCTAAAGTGTACTTCCAATTTCAACCTGATAAGGTAACTGTTGCACTCCACAGGAAATTACAAATTTAATGGAAAACACGCTTCAATTGATACACCCTGTATCCATAAAAAGAGGTTCTCATGAGAATTCAGTTTGCACAACAATGTTCAGAAATAAATAGCCTGTCATTCAAAACAAAAAACGTCCAAATCGGACAACTAATTTTGACGAAAACGTTTCCTGAACTGTTGGCTACTTTTTTTTCTTGGAGAAGTGTATATGAGATTTTTGTATTCAACCTTTATGGTCCTTAATGGAGCAGACATCCAAGAAATCATTTATTTCTGAATGCTAAACAATAATTTTGGCCTTTTAAGCCAGTTAAACATACACAGGCATATTACTACTTTGTAGCGAAACCAATACGAGATTGCTATATTCCAGTCTTTTCCCGAAATAATCACCCCAATTATATAGCATTTCATACTGTATCATTACCCCCACGGGTACTCCACTGTGTCCGAATCCTCATTTCAAAAGTAATTAGTTGTTTCTAGTTTTTGTCGAATACCGAAAGAAGCGAGCTCCCGTTTTTATAATAAAGTGAAAATTTCGAACGTTGTTGCTTTTGGGAGTGTTCAGTGCGTAAAATATATCCAAGCTGATATCGTCAACCAAAAAGTTTTCTCCAATTTCGGAAGTGTTTGCCATTGACTGCACAGAATCTTTGCGTTCTCATCTGTCCTGAAATATAATTATTTCAGCAACAGTGTGCCTGATCTGTCAGGTGAGTTACGTCATTAAAATATATTGCTTATAGTTTACTGGACTCGATTATCTTTGCTACTTATTTGTCAATTGTATTCGGATCATATCGTGGAAAAAAATGTTGTAATTGGGTTTCTCTGTCAGTTTTAGACGCGTACTACGATTGGGTGGAATTAAAACTTGGTCTGTCTGACTTAGCTAGTTTTTCTTACCCAGAAACCACATATACAGTGTGGACCCATATAAACTACCCCCTGAGATTAATTGAGTTTCGCCGCAACTTTAGAACCATATATTTTGACGTTAGTAAATTGTAAAGTATGATCCAGAAAGTCAAGATAATGACATTCAGAATAGAAAATGAATATTCCAAGTCCGGCTCTGGATTCTTTTCCATAGGGTAATTTCAGGCGATACCATCAAGACGTTCCTGAAATATCGTTCTTCAAAATTTCGCCCAGAATTCAAATAATGCCCTGTATTTTTGTTACAAATAGGCAAAATATATTTTTCCACATATACAGGGTAGTGGTGGGGTAGGGGGGTCCAAAATATGGCAATTTAACGCAACTTACCTCTATATAAGTTGCTTCCCTAAGGAATTATAGGCTTTGAAAGTGAAGTTATAAATTTTGAAAAAAATCAATATCTCCGTTATTCTTGAACTTGAAGCAACCAAATTTGGTACACTTTGTGGATGTATTTAGGGCGTTACTTGACAGTAACTAGAGTTTGATTGAAATTTCTAAAGGGGGTATACCGGGTGGCGCACCATTAATATTCAACAGAATTTTGTTAACCCTTGATGGATTTTAAAAATCTTTGCTTTGTTTTGTGGGCAATTCAATTCTAAAACTTTCCTCACTCTAGTAATTTTTCGAAAAACCTCGTCATTTTCATCAAATACTCGAGTAACTGGAAACGCTCGCTCTAGGTGTCATTCAAAATCTTCGAAAATTCAAAAGTTGGCTATGAAAATAAATGTGAAACAAGAAAGTAGGTCATTTAATGTGATCAGTAGAATTTGGCTGGCAAATTATTATTCAGATACGTAAGAAAATACGTAAAGTAAGTACAGCTACTGAAAGGTGAAAAACTGGGATTAACAACTAATCAAAATAATCACAAAAAACTTGAACAACAACCGGAACAAACAATTGTTTATCGATAAATTAAAGAAATTGTTCAATGTGAATCACCATGTATATCAACTCACCTTGACTTTCTCTATCCGTCATTAGGCTGCTAGTTAGTCATGACTCACCCTGTGTAAGAAATCGCTATACTAACACCACAACATTATAAAATCGATTTTTGAAGTGTCAACACATTGAAACATTCCTCAGGTAAGAAAAAGGAGCGACCGAGGCGAGTCACCAAGGACAAACACCTGTTGCTGTCGTTCGTCTACTTCGATCAGACGCACTGCGGCTACATCTTCGACAAGGACATCGAGGAGCTGCTGTTCACGTTGGGGTTGAAGCTGTCCAGAGCTCAGGTGAGTACTTTTTCATCTCGCCGATTGAGATCGCTCGGTTGTATTACTGTGAATAATGTACAAATCAACGACTTCCATGAAATAAGTAATAAAATCAATAATCATTTCATCAATGTAGGCCAAAATTTATCGTCAAAAATTACTACAATTTCCGACACTGTGAAAGATTGCTCAAGTGTTCTATCGATGTTCCTAAATCCTACGAATATTTCAGAAATTGAGAATATCATTGATAATCTGGATGTTCGAAAATACTGTGGATTTGATTATATTACTGTTAAGATTGTAAAAGTAATCAAATTTGAGTTAGCTCCTATTTTGTAAAACATAATTTCCAAATCGCTCAAAACTTTTATTATTCCTGACAAAATGAAAATTGCTAAAGTATTACCAATTCACAAAAATGGGAAGAAAGATGATTTAAATAATTATAGACCAATTTCTGTTCTCCCGATCTTTTCCAAAATTTTAGAAAACATGAATAACCGTCTAATAAATTATCTTGAAAATAATAGCCTATTGTTTAGTGAACAATATGGATTTCGTAGGTCAAAAGACACAGAGGTAGCTGTGATGGATGTCATTTCAGATAATCAGTTACGAATAGATGACAATGACAAATGCGGCATTCTGGGATCTCTGTAAGGCCTTTGACACTGTAAATCATAATATTTTATTGACTAAGTTATCATCAATAGGTGTCAGAGGCAAAATTCATGATTGGTTCCAAAATTATTTGAAGAATAGGAAACAGTATGTTGATGTAAATAATACTTGTAGTCCCTTGATGAATATTACATGTGGTGTACCGCAAGGATCAGTTTTGGGGCCAATTTTATTTTTAATATATATCAACTCAATATCTACTTTAAAATTGAAAGGAAAACTAAAATTATTTGCAGATGATACAACAATAATTTATACTTCAAAAGATTTCAACGATATCAATAATGATATTAAAAATGATTTGAAACAAATATCATCTTGGCTAGTGACCAATAAGTTGACTCTTAATTATACTAAATCTACGTATATTTACATCTCAAAAAGAACAACGGATATATTGAATAATACCCCAATATGTTTCAATAACAAATCCATTGAATATAAAAATGTAACAAAATTTTTAGGTCTATATATAGATGAACAACTATCGTGGACTATACATATAGATCAATTGAGAAAAAAATTGAATCCTATTGCTGGTATTATATATAAAATTCGAAATTTCATTCCTGTTAAATACCTAAAGAGTATTTATTTTTGTCTTTTTTATTCAAATATACAATATCTAATATCTATTTGGGGAAGTACAAATATTTCACATTTGAAGCCACTCATGAAATTACAAAATAAAACAATAAAGTGCATTTTCAATTTACTTTTTTTAGATCAACTGCGAATCTATACAAACCTAAAGACTTGCTGAATCTAGTTTCATTATATAAACTCAAAATTTGTTGTTTTATTCATTTTGTCAGGAAGGAATTGAAAATATCGAATTTGAATTTCAATGAAGTTAATACGATTCACGCCCATGAAACAAGGCAATTCAATTTATTGATAGCAAATAATTATAAGTCAAATTTTGGTAAACAATCAATATTCCATAATGGAATAATTTTGTATAGCTCCTTACCTAATGAGTTGAAAAATATAGAAGAAGCATAAAAATTTAAAATGAAATTAAAGAAATATCTGCTCAGTAAACTTTAATAGTACTAATCATTCACAATTTGATTACTTGTAATGGATTATGATATTTTCATTTTATATTTTATTATAATTCTTTTTTTTTAGGAAAAACAATAATTGTGCAATTATTATTGTTTTGATTTATTATGTTTTATATGTATGTTTTGTTGTATATATCCCTATTATAAACAATAATGTTTCTTGGGGTAATAAAGACAATCAATCAATATAAATACTGTCGCAACTCAGATGGTTCTAGTAGGTTATAGGGCATTATTGAGAAGAAACTGCGCGCCTCCACCACGTGTCGCAACTCAGATGTTGACCCTCCTATAGGTCGTGACTCAGCTACTCGCTTGGCTTTTTGACGAGATGTTTTGATAATTTCATCACCCAACCATATTCATCCCCAAATAAAGAGAATTGTTTTTCAAAAGTAGAACAAGCAATTTATTCAATCATGAAAACATAAAAATGTGCTAAAAGGGCGGAACAGCAAAGAACGAACATGAAACGAGCAAATAACAGAAACTACATGATGGTTCTTGTACTTACATCATGTCATGGGCAGCAGCACCAAAGTCGAGGAGATGACACACCCCCAAAGTGGCATAATGCCACTTTGTAAGTCAGCAATGAATGAATGAGTGTTATGTACTGATTTTAATATAATAATTCTGAGTGACGAATCGAATAACGATTGAACTAATAATGACCATCCTTATCGATTCGGGATCTATTTATATTTGAAATCGATGCTGGATTCGCAATTTTCCGCAATGGGAATGGTCGTTACCTTACGTTACTACTTACTAGTACTCACCTAGGTATCATCGCGGGGTAAGCGGTTTCTTTGCAAATTATAAAGGAAATGACGTCTATGAAGGTATTTGAGTGATGATTCTATCTAAGAAATACGAAAAAATAGTCCACTCGCCTATTGCTAATTCGAGACACAATCATGTGTAAAATTGGAATAGAAACTTTTCTCGGTACAGTCTTTAAAAATTCTAACAAATAAGCTCGCTTATTTTCAGTGACTAATTTGAAAAAATGTAACCTTTGACATGTAGCGAAAGTCGCGTGACTCCGACCGAATAGGCCATTTTTTATCTTTTTTGAAGCAAAACTTAACGCTCAAGTCGAATTCCAAAATAAATAATTATTAGAAGTTTCTCCAATATGATACCTACTTTATGAATGACACTATATAATAACCCTGTAATGGACCATTTCTCTCTGAGCACTGTTTTTGACATATTGGATATAATTATTTGGTTTTGATGTATTGGTAGCATTTACCATTCTGCATTTAACAAAATGCTAAAGTTGTTTCTTCTTCTCAAACCGTGTTCAAGATTAGTTTTGAACCGTTTTCAAGCGTGACGTAGTATTTATCTCGTTCAAGAAAACATACTATTTTGAAATGGTAGCTGTCATAAGTCAGATACATAAGACATAACCTGAAACTTGAGAAATGTAAAAGAATGGAATCTCTAAAAGTGGATAATCAGCAGATGAGGCAAGGTGTTTGTCTTTCACAAATGCTGAACCAGTTCAGAAAAATACACTCAGTTACAAAAAAAGTGACGCACTTGATATTTGACCTATCTTCTTGAAAAAAAATAGTAGGCCGATTTTTTTCTTGTTTTATTTGTTGGATGGTAATGCATTTGTCTTAAAAAAAAAATAAAGGGGTGAAAATTTTTTCAAAGCCTCCTTGATGGTGGTGGAATAACTCGAACCATGATTTATTCTTAATTTGTGACTCACCTGTTGATTGAGTAAAGGTATACAAAGTGCTTACACCCTATACGAAAGAGGCTTCTTTTGCGAGCATTTTGTTTTTTTATTCATTGATGTATCTCTAAAATTTTCCGAATTACAGCTTTTTTGCTGATACCTTACGCTTATCCCACAAATTTATTGAAGGATCAGAGTACTCAAAATTGATTGAGTTGTACTCTGGTAGGATCACATTGTCTTTAAAAAAACAAATGCCGTTGCCATAGCAACTAATTTGTTGTATGCCTCCATATTTGACCATTTGTCGTTGTGTCATTAATTAAGTGTCTTGTTTTATTGACTAAAATTACATAAAATTCCTCAAATAAATCCTGAACAAGTAGCAAGATTAGTTGCGTTAGTAAACGATGGGCGTAGTGAACGTTACGCCGCTTGTGAAGTGGGAGTTCATGAAGCAACTGCTCGTAGAGCAATCCGCAAGTACGAACAAACAGGAAGCACCGCTCGGAGGGTCGGTTCTGGTCGCCCCCGAAAAACTTCTCCAAGAGATGATCGCTTCTTGAGATTGCGGATTTTACGGAATCGATCAAATACTGCGGTAAATGTTCAGCAAGATCTTTGCCAAATTCGTGATGTTGCAGTAAGTAAGCAGACGGTATGTAGACGTCTAAAAGAAGTTAATTTAAAAGCTAGGAGACCTGCAAAAGGTCCCAAATTATTGCCCGAACATCGTGCTGTTAGAAGAAATTTTGTTGAAAATTATGGACACTGGAATATTCCTGAATGGTCGAATGTCTTGTTTACGGATGAGTCAAGGTTTTGCCTCAACATGGTGGATGGAAGAAAAAGAGTGTGGAGAAGAACTGGTAAACGGTTTAATCAAAATTTAATAACAGAATGCGAAAGTTTTAAGGTGGGTCCGTTATGATGTGGGGAGGGATTTCAATGAATGGAAAGACACCCCTTCATGTTTTTCCGGTGAGGCAGTCGATGAATGCCCAAATTTACATTGACATTTCAGAGCAGTATGTCTTACCTTATGCAGAGTTAGTGGGCAATAATTTTATATTGATGCAGGATAATGCCCGACCACACACCGCAGCAATAGTGCGAAACTTCTTAGAAGCTACTGGTATTACCACATTACAATGGCCTGTGAGAAGCTCCGATATGAATCCTATAGAACATTTGTGGGATGAATTAGGGAGAAGGGTAGGTACGTTCTCGCAAGAGGTCTCCGGAAAGTCTCGCAGAAATGGCAGATGCATTAGTGGGAGAATGGGATCGTATACCAAAGATAAGCAACTTAATTTCCAGTATGCCTCGTAGATTAGAAGTTCTTAGAGTTGCTAGAGGAGGCAATACACGGTATTAAGCAGTCATCCCAATTTATAATTTTGTGTCTAATGAAAATGTTTTTTAAAATTATTGGTATCAGTTTATTTCATT